TTGAAAAATTGAGAATTAATACTTAATAGCGACTAATTCAAGAAACTGCATTTGAAATAGGGTGGAAGTTCTCTGTAGGTTATTGATAATTAAACGATTGCCGCCAGACTTCAATAGCAGTTTCTCGAATAAGTCGCTTTTAAGATAAATATTATTTTATATTAAAAATGTCTATTCAAAAATATATATATTTCACGCTTTTTAGTGATATTAATATTTTTTATTATAAGAAGTCTAACAATATTAAATATCTACAAAAAATATATTAACATAGTGAAGGCTTAGGAAAGATGTTTTTGTATATAAGTTGTAACATTATAATATGCTAGAACTTCGTGGGGTGGATAAGTTAAGTATACTAAACGAATAAAGAATAATTGCTTCGTGAATTCAGTGTGCACTTATTGAAAAACCCATATCACAGATAAGAATGCTTGAGAATGCATTCTAAACTCATTATATCTCAATATTATCTTGTTGCCATTATAAAATTATTATATTATCGAATTATTAAAAAAATTAAAGAATAAAAACTATAATCTTATGACATATAAAATAAACTGTTATATATTAATATAATATAATAGTTTTTTTTTTATATAAGATAATCGTTTTTTTCTCAATTTATGATGTATTGATCTAGTAATGACAAGGTTTTGTGAATGTCGTTACTCCCATTCTAGCTACTGAACTCCCATCTTGTTCTTCTTATCAGCCAAAAGATCTACTGAATGAGTGGTAAGGAAAAAAATAGACGATTTAAAAGTATTTTAAAGAAGTCTATTTGAATAAAGACTATTTCAACGTTGAAAAATGCATAAAAAGCCATTATGTTTTTGTATATACATGTTAAAAGAGAAAATATTCGATTGCTTGTTTGTTTGCATTGGATAGGGTCTGAAACTATTGGACCGATTATAAAATTCTTACATATGTAGAAAGCTACATAATATGCGGGGAACAGGTGAATTCGCGCGAAAACAACTAGATGAATAGAAATTGGTTCACAATTCAAGTTGATGACAATTACATACAACTTTCGTTAAAAATATACAGGATATAAATCATTATTATTATTATTCGATTTTAATAAAATTTAATCGAGACCAACATTAAGCTGTCCAATAAAAAAAAAATTGGCAATCAGTCGACAATTAGTGGAAAATTGCAAATGGAAAAATGGCAACGAATTAAAAAAAATGTTTGATAAGTAAAAAATCCAATGTGTTAGTTCAGTGTCATTGCTTAAAAATATCAGGCACTTAGGTAATTTTGAATTTTAAATTACAGTTAATTGAACATTGGTGAATTTATTTGAGACAGCTTACAAATGGGAAGACATATTTATATAGAAAGCATTTGTTTATTTGCAATTTAATAATAAATCAATTTAAATAAATTCTGAATAGTTCAATAGCTGTCAATTCTTGGAGACACGTACTTCTTGTCGTCTTTTAATATACCGGCAGCGATTTGTCGATCACGTTCTCTGCGCATTGCCTGTAATTTAAATATAATTAAATTTATATCTAACTTGGTGAAGCGGGGAAGAAACATGAAGAAATATTTTTTAACCTAGGATAACTCGTATGCATAAACGTCCATTGATTGATTGATTTTAGATAAAAGTTTTAGAACGTTGTTTAATATAATCAGACTGTATTGAAAAATGTTAAAAAACTAACTGATAATTAAATTTGCCTTTCAGATTTAGGTAGGAGTTAAAATCACACTTAGCTACAATAATAACTGATAGTGTTTTATTGATCTTATAATAGGCTGCCATTAAAATAGTAGAAGTTCAATTTCATTAATACAATAATGAACCATTGCTATCAATTATAATTCTGTAAAATTATGTAATGACAAGTTTATTACATACTAGCTGTTCGCGCGCTTTGGCTTATGATGAAGCTTTCCATTGGTATTGATCTATGCCGACCGTAAAGAATTTAAAAAATTAGTCAAGTTATTTAATAGACCAGCAGGCCAACTCTCATTGTACTATCTACCTGAAGTCCAATGTTATTATATTGGTATCGTCACGGTTGATTGGTGAGGACGACAGCACATGCAAGAGTTGAGATTGTATTGACGTAAACATTAGCAGAACCTTAGGCCTAAGCATATGGCTAGGGATACAAGATCTTTGCGATTTTTCGTTTACCTATTTTGATATATCTTTTAGTTGATAAATTTGGATTAAATGACTTAAGTCAATCACATTCATAATCCTCATGCATTAGCATTTGTTCGTCGTTAATAAAGACCACGTTACTACTCGTAAAATGAAAATATCGGCATTTAGCGATGATGTCGTATCTTAGACCTAGGATTGCGTTAGGAGGTGCCAACCCTATTGACTTTTTCAATGTAGAGAAACGAACAATCAAATCGTTCCTTTTTTATATTAGTTTAGATAGGCATATAAAGTAGGCGTGCGTAAAAGAGACTCAGGACTTCCCCACATCATTATCATTACGGTGAACAGTAGGATGGTGTCGCAGTGGTTAACGAGAATTATAATTTCTCTTCTGCTCTAAAGGCATGATGAGGCTAGGGACCGATGCCGTTTCAAGCGTGCTGCAAGCTTCTCGGTAGGTATGTCAGCCAGCACGACGAGTGTCAACCGGCATGACGTCGCTTTAAGCGCGTTACAGGCTTAATCGTGTATCGGATCCCTTTGTCGGCATCCATCCATTGGGAAGTTAATTCGGAAAGAAGACGTTCAAGTTGGGAAGTTCACAATGCTCAGTGTTCATAAACGCCTAAATTATATATTATTTATTTGTGTACATGCAATATCTGGTACTTACAACAAATCTCTTGAATTGTTTTGTCATTGTGTGACACTCTTTAAAATCTTGAATGAAGTGTCCACACCTTTTGATACCACGGTCCAACCCATATGCTTCTAAACAGTCCATCATCTGCATCTCTTGCTTTTGGCATCTGCCAAGCATCTGATGTGATACCATGCCCCCGGTTATATCAGTGAAAGGGGATCGTAAAAATGGGGAAATACTATTCATCTTAATTAAATTACTATATTTAAAAAACCAGAAAAACTGATTTTGGTCTGGAGTAAAGACAAACAGTTGACAAGTTAATATAATAGCAGAATGTCAAATAGAAGTTGCCAAATTATTGACATTAAATTTGTTTTTTCGCTTACTTTTTAGCGGTCTATAAAAATAATAAAATTGAATCCTGCCTAAAAACCAAAACGTCCAAGTCAAAATATATAAAAGGAAGATTGTTTTATAGTAATATTTTTCTACATGTAAGGCTACACACGCACTAATGACTTTGACATTGAGACTTTCTATTTCCTGTCTATAGGGATGACTACTGGGTAAAAAAAGAAGGAACTCTATTTCGTCCGTCAGTATGATAATAGTCAAGTAGTCAGATACATGTTTAATATTTTTTAACAATCTACCTGACGGATAAACTAAGAAAAATTAGTTGACATCCTAATTGAGATATTTTTATTGGCATTTTATTTTTGTTAAAATCCTTAATACGAGGGTCAAACTGAAAGTTCTTAGAACTGGCCACTTATAAACAATATAATAAAAAAATAATTCTAAAATTTGAAAATATAACTCTTTGCCAATATTACTGAGTATATATTTCATTCATTTGTCATTTGTTTTACGATTTGGCGGCAAATTGAAAATTGTCTGTGTCACGTCATCATGAATTTAACACGAGAAAATTTTCGTGCAATGATTTTTTATGACTTTCGATGTCATTTAAGTCAACAAGAAAGTTATGATAGACTACGATTGGCCTTTCACGATGAAGCCCCATCTCGTGCGACTGTTTACAACTGGTTTAATGAGTTTAAACGTGGTCGCACTAATCTCACTGATGATTTACGTGAGGGACGGCCTTCTACGGCGACGACTGAAGATAACATCTGTGTTGTGCGGCGTATGATAGAGACTGACAAAAGAGTGACCTATCAACAGATTCGGACAAGCTTAGGCATCGGTATGAGTCAAGTGCACAAAATCCTCCACGAACATTTAGCGGTCAGGAAGCTTTGCGCCCGGTGGATACCTCATAATTTGACTGAGGCTCAAAAACTCCATCGTGTGGATTGGTGTCGTAAAATGATTGAAAGATTTAACGGAGGTGACTCAAATGCTGTGTTCGACATACTAACAGGTGACGAAAGCTGGATTTACTGTTATGATCCTAAAACCAAAAGACAATCTGCTCAGTGGGTGTTTCCTTTCGAGGAGTTGCCAACTAAAGTGAAGAGAGATCGAAGTGCGGGAAAAAAAATGGTGGCCTCGTTCTTTGGAAGGATAGGTCATTTTGCAACAATTGTGTTAGAGGATCAAAAAACAGTTTCTGCAGAATGGTACACCACCAATTGTTTGCCACTTGTCTTGGAAAAAGTTCGAGAGAAACGACCTCGCAGTAGGATCCTCCTTCACCACGACAACGCCTCGTCGCACACCGCCAAGCGAACGATCGACTATTTGGCGACATCAAACGTTGAATTACTGGGTCACCCGCCGTATAGCCCCGACCTCGCGCCTTGTGATTTTTATTTATTTCCAAAAATTAAAGAAAAACTTAAAGGAAAGCGGTTTATGAATGCTGAAGAAGCGGTGGCTGCGTATCGCGATGCCATTGAAGAGACCCCTAAGGACGAGTGGGCAAAGTACTTTTCCCAGTGGTTCCATCGCATGCAGCGGTGTATTGACGTGAATGGACAATATTTTGAAAAGATATAATAAAACTAATAACTGGCTAATGTAATCAGTTTTTGATTTTCTAAGAACTTTCAGTTTGACCCTCGTATGATGACAAAAAGTTTCCCTAATTAAATTGCAAACAAATGTTTAGATATAACTCTTGAAATCTGAAGATCAGAATTTTAACCTTTACAAAACATATTTGGTAGGTGTTTATTATAAGTGTTTAATCACAATTATAATAGATAACTATGTAAAATTTATTTGACTACAACACAATTTGTTTTAGTAGCTGTCCAGCTTTGGAGTAACATATTTTTCATCGCCTTTTAGTTTTCCTTCAGCAATTTGTCTGTCTCTTTCTCTTCTCATTGCCTGAAAAGGAAGAGAACATTTATCAATGTGTCATACCTATACATAGTATAAAACAAAATCACTTTTTGCTATCTGTATATTGAGATCTTTTAAACTACAAAATGGATTTAATCATAGTTTTCATCAATATAGTAATTCAGGAGGAAGGTTTATAAGTAAAATAGTAGACCAGAGCTGCTGGTGGAGAACTAGTCTCTAATATATAATAATTCATAAAATATTTTCAACAACTCTTAGTACCTTGCATGTTGTTTTTCACAAAATAGAAATGGCAACCAAATGTAATAACACAGTTTTCTCTGGTTACTGCTTCATTTTGTACAGGTTAATAAATAAGTAAAAGAATTGCCTAACAATATTAATATAGGAAACTGTCTGTCTATTAAACTTTCACAATCAAACTGCTGGGCCAAATATGTTGAGATTTCATGCACAGATAATTTGAATACTCATCCATACACAGTTTCCCATATACTCATTGATTGTCCATAAATAAGATTACTTGTTCTAAAATTAATGATACTATGTAACAATATCAATGAAGTCACATGTGGAAGCTTAAGCTACACTTGTAATAGTGTTGTTATCAATTTTTATGTCTCTATGAACTACTGAAAGTTGGGGTGATTTATTTGGATAGTTTATTAGGTCCATGTAAATAATCTTGTCTAACAATTTGTTATAAAATTAGGTAGTTTAGATGTTTTGATAGATCTCATGTGTTGGAAGTTTGGTCAAGATATGTAAAGTGCATGTAATGTTAGTTGTAAACAAACAGAACTGACCATAAACCTCTTGAATTGTTTGGTCATTGTTTGACACTCATGGAAGTCGCCAAAGAGGTGGGCGCATTTTACTCGGCCGCGATCCAGACCGTAAGCCTCCAAGCATTCCATATAGCGCATTTCCTCCTTTTGGCATTTACCCAACATTTGATGGGAGGTCAAGCCACCCGTGAGGTCCGTAAACGGTGAGCGAAGGAATGGTGAAATAGACATTTTTCAAACCTAGATTTAAGGTAGAAAAAAAGGAAATATCATCAGCTGTTTTTTGTAAGGTTACAAAAATTACGTAAACATATTTGAGTTAAAAATTTTGATAGACTAATTATTAAATTTAACTGTACAGTTGATAAAAACAAATGCCAACCTTTTTGGATTCCGTGTATTCAAAAATTGTATGCTTTGCTTTTTTAGTTTGAAAATTTTATACAAATAATAAACGTCAAAATGTTGATTATTTTGTTTTAATTATAATATAGCAAAACAAAGGAATCTAATCCATACCGCTATCTTGTCTCCTTTTTCTGAATGGCATGGCATAAAATAACAATTATGTCTCTAAAAATTAGTTCTAATATAGCTAATTTCAACTCTAATTTATGAATTGAGTTATATATTAGAGACTAGTTCTCCACCAGCAGCTCTGGTCTACTATTTTACTCATAAACCTTTTTCCTAAAATCAGAAACGATATACTTTAGAGCAGACTCTTTTCATGGTCTGTTAAAGTACTCTTTTCACGGTCTGTGGTTGGCGGTTGCACAGTAGGGGTGTCCACTTAAAAAATATATCGATATAAATACTCGATATAAAATATCGGTAACTGATATCGATGTTATTCGATATATCGTATAAAAACATCGATATTTTTTAAATATCGAGTATTTTTTTGAAAATTTCAATGCTTTCCTTTTTTAGGCCCACTTGCAGTTAAATTTCCAAAATCTCGATTTAAAACCCTGGGCATCACTCCTGGTCGAGGGCATCAAAATGTGAGTACACTGCAGGGGTTCAGGCCTTCCTTATGGATGGTTAAGGAGGAGGCCATGACCCTTCAATCAATCAATCAATCAATCATTTATTGCATAAAATATGGTGTAACAGATGTCATAAAATAAGCGTATCACATATTTACTGTTTGACAGTGTGCAATAGTTTTAGTAGTTATATAAATTTACATTTTAATCTATTCATGCATTAACTATGATATTATTTTATTCGCACATCATTCACTTAAAAAACATTTCATTTAGTTCCTATTACATATTATTTCAGTCTTATAGTTTAAAATTAAGTAATAGTAATAATGTCAAAATTCGAATCAATTTATATGTTACAAAAATAATAAGTCAAGTAAGCTTAATACATAAATCCATGTCAATTACAAAATAATTTTATCATACACATTATAAAATATGTCATTGTATATAATTTATTTATAGTGTCGTTGTATATAATAATTTATTTATTTATAAGCGATTTTTACTCTACTAAAATTGCTTGCATTCCAAATATTCCTGTATCGAGTAAAATGATTTGTTCAGAAGCCACTCCGTCAAAGCTTTTTTAAAAATGTTTCTGTTAATCGGTAAGTCTACTAGTTTCGATGGAAGCTTGTTGAATATATTTATAGCCATATAATATACATTTTGTTTGAATAATGTCAAATTACATTTCGGAATAACAATTTTATTTTGTCTCGAACTTCGTGGGTCTTTTTTTATCTCTCTGACTTTAGTAAAATATTGTGGATTTTTTTTTACAAATAAACACAGTTCACAAATATAAATGCAAGGCAAAGGTAATATTTTTAATTCTTTAAACATAGGTTTACAGGAGTCACGTCTTTTTATACCACATATTGCTCGTATGCATTTTTTTTGAGCTATAAATAGTCTTTTCATATCCACGCTATTACCCCATATTATTACAGCATAACGTAGCAAGGACGACACGTATCCATGATATGCTTGTAAGGCTATATTTTTAGAAGCGACTATTCTGACTCTATAAAGTGCAAAAACGAATTTATCTATTTTTGTAGCTAAACTATCAATGTGATTTTTCCAGTGTAAATGTTCATCCAGAGTTATGCCTAAAAACCGCGCTGTACTTACTACGTCAATATTGGAATTTTTATAATGTATATTTAAGTTTATTCTTTTAGATTTAGCTGTATGAAATTGTATTATGTTAGTTTTTGATATGTTAATTTTTAAATTGTTTTTGTTTAGCCATTCTATTACATTGGAAATTGTGTTATTAATTTTGTTTTCTAGTTGGTCAATATTTTTATTTTGAAACAGTAGTGTACAGTCATCAGCAAATAAGAAACAGTCATTTGTGGTTATATCAGGGAGGTCATTGATGTATAGTAAGAAGAGTAAAGGTCCTAAGATGCTGCCCTGTGGTACACCATTTTTTATATTTCGATAATTTGAACGAATGGTTTCTTTGATATTACTTTCCATTCTTATTATTTCTGTACACTGTTGTCTATTTCTCAAATAACTTTCGAACCATTTGTACGCTGAGCCTCTCATGCCATAGTCAAAAAGTTTTTTCATCAATATGTCATGATTCACACTATCAAAAGCCTTTGACATATCAAGAAATACTGCCACTACAGGGACTCTATTATTTAAAGATTCAATTACTTTTTTTAACAATTCAAAACAAGCTTGTGTAGTAGACTTTCCTTCCTGAAATCCGAATTGATTATTATTGATTACACTATGTTTATTAATGAATGATTTTAACCTTTCAGCCATTACTTTCTCAAATATTTTTGAAAATACTGGTATGAGTGTAATAGGTCTATAGTTTCCTATATCACTAGTGTCTCCCTTTTTGAATAATGGTTTTATTACTGAAAATTTCAGTCTATCCGGAAATGTACCACTTTCTAATGAAGCATTTATTATATGTGATAAAGGAGATTTAATACTTTTGGAGCATGCTTTAATAATATCTGTGTTCAGATCATCATAACCCACTGATTTTGTATTTTTCAACTTTAATATTATTCTTTCTATTTCTGTTTCTGTAGTTGGATATAGAAATATACTGTTTTGGACTTTATTTTGATTTGTGTTTTCTATTTTTTTGTTTTTATTTTCAGTTATTTCTGTATAATACTCATTAAATGCTTCACATAGGTCATGAGCGTTATTTAGATCTTTATTTTTATATTTTATGGTTTTAATTAAATTTTTTGTTGGTTTTCTATTTATATTATTATTTATAATTTTCCATGATGCCATACATTTATTTTTAGCATTTATAATGAATTTTGAATTTGTTATTTTTTGCGCCGAATTGAGGCATTTATTTAGTATCTTATTATATTTCTTATAATATGTTTTGTTTTTCTCCTTATCTTTTTTACTCGAATGCATATATTTATAATAGTATTTACGCTTTTCCCGACAGCTCTTTCTTAATCCTTTTGTAATCCACTTAACTTGTTTTGTATTATTACTTAATCTTAATCTTGTTATGGGGAAACATTGGTCATAAAACATGGTAAAAGTATCATGAAACATATTATAGGCTTCATTCGTATCTTTTATTTCTAATACATTTTGAAAAGTCAAAGAATTAATATATTTTATGAATTTCTCTTTATTTTCAATGTCAAAGTTTCTTTTCATTTCATACCAATGAAAATTTCTAATATAGTTGTCAAATGGAATTGATAGTATCTGGCACGTATCATGGTCTGATAGAAGCATATCATCTGTATAACCTTTTGCTCCGTAGATATTACTCACTATTAGATCTAGGCAGGCTTTTTTCCTTGTTGGAGTAGTAATATGCAATGTTAGATTGTAATTATATAAAATGCTTGTTAATATTTTTGTATTTTCGCTATTTTGCAAAATATTAATATTCCAATCACCACATAATATTATTTTATTTGATTTTTTATTTAAAGAATGTAATAGTTTTTGCAATTTTTCAAAAAATATTGATATATTTGATGTAGGGGTCCTATATATGCATATTATAATTAAATTAAATTTTTCTATTAATATTCCGCAGCACTCAAAGTTATGTTTTTCCGAAATTGTATCTGTTATTTGTATCCTTTTATGATCACTATTTTTATGGAGTAGAATACACGTACCTCCTCTTTTTTCATATTGCCGGCACCATGATGCTCCCATTTTATAATTGTTCAGTGTCAAATTTTGTTCATGTCCCCTTTTAATAAATGTCTCTGAGAGACAAACGACATCAATATTTTTGTTTTCTTTTTTATAATTTGATAGTGTAATTTCTAATTGATCTTTTTTCCTAAAAATACTACAAATATTTTGATGTAACAAATTAAAGTTATAGCTTTGTGGCATGTCGAAATAAATACTTTTCCAAATTACTACCTATATCATTCTTTTTGTTAAAATAATAAGGAATTGTACCCTTTTGTGCTTTTATTTGTTGATACTCTATACTCTTATTATTCTGTTTATTGCTTTTTTTATTTAGTTCATTTGGATTTTTTAAGAAATAGTAGGGGATTGTACCCTTTGTCCGTCTTAAGATATCAAATTTATCAATGTTTGACATATTACTCTTGTGATATTTAATTTTTTCTATAGAAAGTTTATAGTAGCTTATAGCTTCCATTTCCAATTTTATTCTAGAATAAATATCATGTAAGTAATTAGCGTTAAAGCGACTATTTTCCGATAATCCTATATATTTACAGTTTTTATATATTTTACTAATTAACTTTAATTGATTATTAAGCATATTTATATTGAGATATGGGTTTATCATTGTCTGAATAAGAAATATGTGTGTGTTAGGCGATTGAGCCAAAAACACAGACAATGCACAAATTATATTTGTGGGTATTTTGTCATTTGCACCAATTAACAGTATCAAATAATCGTCCTTTGTAAAATTATTATGAAGATTTGTGTTAAGAACATCATGACAAGTCGCATCAGGTTTAATAAAAGAGGTAATACAACATTTTTTGTTAGATAGTTTTTTACTTAATAATTTTGATAATCCTAATGCTTGTTGATCCCCTAAAATCATAATTTTTTGATTATTTTGAGTTTTCTTTATTATAATATTTGATTTTTTGTATATATAATCACAATTTTTCTTTTTACAATCTATTTGAGGCGGCCTAACGCCCTCTGTATGTGAGTTTGTCAAATTCTTGTCTATTGTATTGTCACGTTGTTTGGTTTCTTCTTGTGTAGATGTATATTGAGGTGCTTTATCGTGCTTGCTGTTGATTTCGACAGATGGCGCTGTGTTCATATACTTGACATGTTCTTGAAGTTCAATATCAGGGATTAATATCTTGTATGTATGTAACAGCTTTTTAACATTAATTATTTCTGTTTTTAGTGTATTATTCTGTAAATTCAAATTTTCTATATTTTTGTTTGCCAATGCTAGCTGTGAGCTCAGTTCTTCCACTTGCACTTTTAATTCTGTATATGTGCTATCGTCTAAAGATGATGTATTTGGTAAGCTTTTCATGGTTGTGTCAAAAATAGTTGTGTTGTCCAAAGTATTGTCCATACTTGTATTTAAATCCAGACTTAGCCTTAAACTCGACTTAACTTAAATCTAACTCAGTTATCTTGCAGATCCTAAAATCATGACTAGTTTAACTAAACCGAGATTTAGCATATTATTCGTTCACCATTCATTCCTTATGTTCCGTTTTTGATGAAAAGACTAGAGTCCGGCGCCATAAAATCAGTTTAGAAAAACAAACGTCATCATCGTTTTTATCAAAACTCTATATCAACATACATTTTTTTGAAGTCGCCGCGCCATTTCATCATTCATAGTTATTCATAAAGTAGAGTAAAACTGTTTATTAATAACTCAAAAATACCAATAAACCGTTTGTACTGCCGAACTAAAATAATGAAAAGATCCAGGGCACCTAATTTCACAATTGCTGGAAAAATGCACCTTTTAAAATAAGTGGAGAAATATCTTATTATAGAAAACAAGAAAACAGATGGGGCTACAACAAAAGATTAGCAATTGGCTTGGCAAGACTTAGCTACCGAGTACAACTCGCCCTAGGACGTCTGAAAATTTGATGTCATGTTATAAAAATCAAAGTGAAAATGTTGTAATGTTAAAATTTACTTTAGCTTTTATTGTCATCATGAGTCAGCTGTCAACGTTATTTAATCGATTCGATATTGTGTTATAAATGTATCGATATTCGATATATCGAATAGAAAAATATTTTTCAAAACATCGAAACAAGCCGATATATCGTATGGAAACATCGAGTACTTTCGATATATCGACGATATTTGAACATCCCTATTGCACAGGCACGTATTATTTTTTTCTTTGACAGGCATAGGCATACCACGAATGTCAAGTTATTTTGACATTCGTGAGGCATACTGGGTTGGTTGCAAAGAGTAGTATAATATATATTAGTAGCAAAGATTACAATATATTAGTAGTATAATATATAACAAGACATCACATTATTAATAATATTTCAATTATTGTTTGATAGACTGGCTGGAACTCGTAGAGGAATAATTAAGGTTGCCGGAAGTGGAATTCTTTAAATAAAAACATGGAGCAGTGGTTAAGTGAAGGTTTATCAAGAATATTAGATTTTGAAGTGCCTGAAGATTTAATAAGGTACATTATTTGATTACATTTAATAAAGTTTCTCAGTAATTAAAATTAACTTTTAATGTTTAATAGTTTTGTATTTATTTGGTTTTCAGTTATGTGCTTTCCATTGAAAATGAAGATGACCTAAAAGAATATTTGAAAACTTTGTTAGATTTCGATAATCCACAACACAAGAATTTTGTATCGGAATTGTCGAAACGAAAATTTCCTTCTAGAGGTTAGACACATAGTTTTAATCTTCCTGTCTAGATTTTTTTATTAACTTCATCAAGTTACAGGTCTGCTCTGGCCAAGTCCAGGTTAAAAGATTAACCATAACAATAATTAATTAACTAAAATTGGATTAATCTATCTCTTAATGGTAATAAATTTTTGCAAGTACCACTGCACTAATTGTTCTGGAAGTTATGGGGTGTGACGTAAGGTCATGTGGTAGTGATGGTAATTGCCAGAACCAGTAGACTTGTGACATATTTGATGTAACATTCCAATCTCCAAGATTGGAAAGTTTCATTGAACCCACCCACATCTTCAATTCTATAATGAAAGGTTGTGAAATGTTTTAATTTTAATATAAAAAAATATGTCTTATAAAGTGCTCAATCACCCTAATAATTTGGAAATACTTTCCTAAACAAATTTAAAAATATATAAAATTTTCTCCTCTATGGTATTAGTATTAATTTTGTGAATATCTAATTATATTTTTTATTATTATTCTTACAGGAAATTCTATTCCAAAGCAAAAGAAAAAGATCTCTAAAAATAAACAACAAAAACAACAAGATTTTGTATCAGTTGAAGAGCCACCTGCTCAGACTCAAAATGTTGATCCAGAAGCAAAGTCAAAAAAGAAAACTAAATATGTTAATCTGTACTCTCAAGAAGGAAAGAATGCTCAGGTGATCCTGTTAAAAGGTATGTATTACAATCACACTAAACATATAGTTTGCAATCCATTGTTGCAAATGTCTGCCTGGCTTTGATAGTTAGTTAAATTTTTATATTATTTGATGATGAGTAGCTTGGTAGCATAGTGGATGAGCGCCGTGGCCCATGATCGTTGTTGTGAAGCAACTTTCGCAAGGGTCAGGTGACTAAAAAAATATCTACTCTGTACTTCAAAAGGCACGATAAATCGTCCACTCTGCATTTGCAGTCATTTATACCCTCCAATTTGCATTGGGCCAGTGTGGAGGGTCATGGCCTATCCTCTTTAACCATCTGTAAGGTAGGCGTGAGCCCCTGCAGTGGGGATGTAACAGGGCTGATGATGAGGATTATTATTTATTATTAGATAATTATAATTCATTGATTTAACAATGTTTCTTATGTTCAGGACGTCACCACTGCGACTGTCAGGCTTCTAAGCATGAACTAATCAATAACTGCTTATATTGTGGTAGAGTTGTTTGTAAACAGGAAGGATCGGGACCATGTCTTTACTGTGGAAACTTGGTGAGATAGACAAGTTTTAATAATATTTATATGAGTATGATATGCATCAAAATCACATTGCTTATACTAGTGGTCGCCCAATGGTCGAAATTCAATCATAATGAATTTCAATTAGAAGTTATTTAACATAATTTATAACAAATATAATATTCAAACATTATTAAGGTTCTATTGTCAAAGACTATATTACTACCTACTATAACCAACACTGTTATTTTCCTATTTTTTTAAATAAATTATATGAAACTCAAGAAGCAGTATAATAAAGAAAATACTGAAATCGAAAATCTTTTCACATTCAGTAAGACCACAGTAAACATCACAAACATATGATAGATGTCTATGGTAACCATATAAAACTTGACACTAGGTAAATGCACAAACCATGCGAAGTCAATATTCAAAAGAAACAAACAAACTCTATGTCAAAAGAAACAATTTGACCACAGAGTACATGTATGCGTGTAGCAAATACTTGTTTGTGTGTGTCAGATGCATAGTAGTGTGTGTAATGTTTTATTTATCAATTTAATTTATTCTATAAGCATTATTATCGAAAAATATTAGTCGTTTGCACTTCTCCTAGATATAAACTTTAAGTCAAATTTCATACTCCTCTGTCCTCGCAATTTTCGTAACAAAGGGGTCCAAAGTTTGCTTCACATATTAATATATAGATGTTCATTCCAAACTTATTTTTTATTCTATAAAATGATTTGATATTTTTTAATTACCATGATATTTATTGTATTTTTAAGTTGAATGTAGTTAAAATTTAAATGCATAATATGATTAAAAAATTAAAAATAAATTTTGTTTTATATGTAAGGTATGCACCCCAGAAGAGCAAAAAGAACTTAATGCTAAAACAAAAGCCAGTGCAAAATTGATGGAGTCACTTATGGAACGAAGTAGACCTAAAGGTTGGGAAGCAGCCATGCTCCATAGGAACCGTCTATTGGAGTTTGATAGGACTAGGTGAGAGTGAATTTTGACAAATCGGTGACTAGCTTGATACTAAAACTGAATCTTGCTTTTCTACGCATCTGTCGCGTTTTATTGTTGAACTACATCAGTAATATATGTTGTATGGTTATGAAGCTAAAATACATGTTTATTTTATCGTTCCATGTGTTTGTGTTTTAGCAAAAAAATAAATTTTCAATGCAGTTGCTCATAAAGCGCTATTTTTTTAATCCATTGTAAACACCGAAAGTGAGGCTTTAAACACTTGTTCAATAAAAATGAACTGAAATCCTTTACTGCACATGTGCTTAGAAGTTTTTAATTTTTTTTGGCAGAGCACCAAAGAAATTTAAAAAAAATTGATGAAAATATGTCAAACTTTACTTTACTTTACGGACACACTACTCGTTTATTATATGAAAATCTCTCACGATTCTATAGTGAGAAGCGCACTCGTGTCACGGATGATGACAGCGATTACTTCAATGCAGGCAGCGTGTGGTTAAGCGCGACGGAACGCGAGAAACTAGAAAAATACCAACAGACGTTGCACGAAAAAAAGCACGCCTCGCGACTTAACAAAAATATGACTTTTGATTTTGCTGGTAAGGGTAATTTAAATATACTGTATTAGTTTATACTGGTAAGGAAAACCTCATTCATGATAATTTACAAACACTAGTGTCTGCAAGGGTTGTAACAAAAGTTACCGTCGGTCAGTTACTAGTTATAATTCCCTCACTTCCCGCTGAATCTAGTGTCATTAAGATCTTTATGTATACACAGCAAACAATAAAAGGTCATATCTGCAATCAATTCTTTAACTGTCAACAGATTAACGCTTAAAGTCAATAAAAAGAGAAATTTACACTTTGTCTTAATGTCAAGTATGGCCGCCGACGAAAGTACGAGCCGTTGAGAGTGTTTTTATAATCGCGTATATAAATCTTGTTTAGGTCGTCAAGTAATAGAGGACAACACAATAGACTATGAAGTTGATGAACAGAAGATCTCTGATATGACTCGCAGCGGTGGTGATACGAAATTCTTCAACCATGATCTATTTGTGGGGGACGCGGGGGACAGGGACGTCGCACCCGGTGTCAATGCTCAACTATTGCAGGTAGAATATTATGGCACGGTCGCCGAACAGAGAATGGGGGTGTAGACATCTTTTTTTATATATTTATTTTATATATATACATGAAATATGTAAAAATATTTAAAAAAGTATAATTCACATACTAAGTTAAAATATAAAAATAATTTTAATTCAACACAATTCCCCCGAGAGCGCCACTTCTGTCATGGCGTTTCTATGACGTCACGGCCCTCTGAAATAACATCCTATTATGTATGTATAAGGTTGAATTCTCCAAGTTGATTAACACCAGTGCACGTGACGACGAGTATAAAATATTTGTTTTTTTTTTTTTAATTTTTATATTATAAATAGCAGAAAAAATAATATGTATTTATTTTCGTTTACTGTCTACACCCGTATTTCATACAATGACCCATTCAATATAAATAAATAAATATTTAACAACATCACATACATTGCTCAGATTCCCAGATGAGTAGCTAAAGCTCCCGTATTATGGAGTATCTGAGACAACGAAGGTACCACAACACCCAGACCCTTCACTCGTGGCCAAAAATATTGCTTTTGCGCTTTGTACCTAATTTATGATATCTATCAGTAGGCATATAAGTCAATGTATGAAATTCTTTGTTTGGCGACCGTGCTATACACAACGTCATATAGTCAGATCCAAAATTAAGTATTATTTCTTTTATGGAGAATAATAAAGGTTGCCTGAAAGATTATTGTGTGCAATAAAGATTTTATTATTATTATTAAGTAAATGTAAATAAATGTAGTTAGTTTAGCTAACTACATTTATTGTGGAAATCAGAAACAACAATGTAACACAACACTCGGACCAGAGATGATATAGAAAAGAACATTTCCTATATTGGACCGATCGGGAATCGAAAGTCGTCGTCTTGAAGAATGAGTTATTGCACCCATTATTAAAGTTTCTCAATTCAATGCCACGGTTCTATATAAATCACAATAATATACAAAATTTGTAATAAGTGCTAAAAATATTAATTTGATTGAAATGCTGGATGCCATGTCGCTCTGTAGTTGTGACGTCAGTTGGTCTTTTATATGATGTGTTTTTATATGAAGTCTCTACTGCATACAAGACATCGTTTAAATGATCATATAACGTCATATCATGGCGGCTACTTTAGCTATTTGAAACTTCAGATTAATAATTCGAGGCTCTTTGATTTGCACTTTTGAAGCTTGCCAGACCTAATGATTTAATAATTATCGCTTTATTTGTGTAAACAGTTCGATTCGTCGGTGGAAGGGTCTGGATACTCGTCTGCAGTGAGAACAGGTTGTGGTATCGGAGCGCGAGTACAAGACGCCGAGTTGCAGGAGATGTCTGACACGGGCCGATGCCTCTCCATGCATCAACCCTGGGCATCACTCCTGGTCGAGGGCATCAAAATGTGAGTACACTGCAGGGGTTCAGGCCTTCCTTATGGATGGTTAAGGAGGAGGCCATGACCCTTCATGCTGGCTCAATGCGGATTATAAAGTATAGTGCCTTTCGAACACGGAGTAGTTCGAGATAAAAATTTTTTGGTCATCCATCCCGTGACCAACCATCCACCTTGAGGAAGTTGCTTAACTAAAACGATTAAGGTGCTTATCTACTACTCTACCGAAATACCCTCCTCAAATTATCAACGAAATAATGGAAGAGAAAGAAGCAGTCCGTAGATTTACGACCCGATGCGTGGCATAAAGTTTCGACTAAATGATTTTGATTTGATTTGAATATCGACACGGTTTAGGTACAAGCCTTTTGGATGTATAGTAACATGGATCAACGAGCTATAGTCCACCAGGCCCCAGTGCGGATTGTTAATGACTTCTGATGTAGCCAGTACTAATGCTTTGGTATGCAATTTTAAAGTTGCATAACCTACGCAATCACAGATTAAACGCGGTAGTCAATGTGCTTTCTCTAATATTAATTGCTTCTTAAATGTTGTCAGGCACGAGGGTCGAACTTGGTACAGCTCTCACCGCGGACGTCTCTGGATCGCTTCCACCGCCAAACCACCAGATCAAGCAACTATTAGCGCCCTAGAAAACCAGTACCGGGTTCTTTATCCGGGTAAGTATATAAAAGTAGCCCGGTGGCGTAGCGGATAACTGCCGTGGCCCGCTATCGTAGTTGTTAAGCAACTCACGCAAGGGTCGGTCACGGGATGGGTGATCAAAATTTATAATTTCGAGGTACTCCGTGCTTCGGAAGGCACGTTAAGCCGTTAGTCCCGGCTGTATTTGCAGTCGTTAATACCCTCCGATCTGCATTGGGCCAATGTGGAGGGCCAAGGCCCATCTTCCTTAACCACCCATAAGGAAGACTTGAGTCACTGCGGTAGGGACGTTAAAAGATGATGATATAAAAGTTTCTGTTAGAGGAAGAAGTATGATATCAGGATTATTTCGTTTTGTGAATAGTTTTAAAGTTAAATTGTCCGTGAGTCAATAGTTCGAGTTGCATGTTTCTTTCATATAATTATAGTTGACAGAACGCAAAAGAAAATTATCATTGCAGTCGGGAGACCTCTCTGTGGAGCATTCGCAATCTAAGATTTATATATTTTTGAACTGAAATAATTGAGGTTTTTCCGATTTAGATAAGCAATTGAAGTTCCCTTCGTTCTATCCGACTGGATGCTTGCTTGGCTGTGTCACCGTCGAGGACTGTTTGCCCCAAGAAGAATATCAAAAGAAGTAAGTATTGAGTGTTTAATATATAACTTTAATTATCTGGGTGTTTTGTATTTTTATATCTGAATGACTCTCTAGCTATTGAGGACTTCTATGACGCAGTGGTTAACGTGTTTGGCCTGCGATGCGAAAATTAAGCAACTTTCACAATTGCCGGTTATAGGATGGGTCAGCAAAAATTTACCATCTCAAGTTCCTTTTTGCTTTGAAAAGCACTTTAGCCGTTGGTCTTGCTTGTATTTCAGTCGTTAATATTCACCAATGTGTAACGGACTCTTGGTGAGCAATGGCCTGTTCCTCCTTTTCTTCCATCCATAGTGGGAAGACCTGTCCCAGCAGTTGGGATAAATAGGCTAGGGTGACACAAAACACGATTAAAAAACGTGATAATAGATGACGCAGTCTGATCCGATGATGTCAATAAGTAATAGAAAGATAAAAATATCACTGTTGTGTTTGTTTATATATAAGCAGATTTTGTCTATGTAATTTTAAATAATTTATTTTTGATCTCTATAAGCCACTTGTACCTTAGATCAGTATTGCTGATACGACGTCACACTACGAGACACAGATTGAAACACTATTTTCAATTATTATTAAATATTTTTTTACATGCGATTCTATGACTTAATACCAGAATATCTGATTATTTCAATATAAATTATATTGTTTATTAAATTTCATGACTCATTTTTCATAGATATCCTGAGGGAGAGAGTGATAGTCCATATGTGTTCATATGTTCTAACCCCATAAGTTTAAGACTAAGATTTCCGATCAAGGGTCAACATAAGATATGTAAGTATATTTACAATTATATTATTAATGCAATATGGACCTTAATCCTCAATAAATAAAAAATCAAATATGTATACCGTTTTTAGTTTCTTTGATTTTTAAAATGAAGCTGCCAATATGCTTAGCGTTCGTTTTAGTAGGCATTGGTAACTTTTAGGAATCGTAAAAGAGATTTTAGTACTATTTTTTTGTATAACAGAATAGTAAAATTTTCTTTTTCTCTGATCTATTATAAAATTTTATGAAATGTAGTTAAAGTTCATAGTTCTTTGAAAAAACAATTATATTTTTATAATAGCCTAATGTGTTGGTGTAAAATTTTAAACATCATTAGAATATAGTCTTCTGGATAAACTATTGTAGCATAAGCGACTAAACTACGTTAGATCAGCTTTTCTCGAGATTTGCTCCGCGTGACCCTAAGTCTGCAAAGAATATACTGGGGGTTCCATTAAAATTTTAGTCATATTTCGCCAAATGATGGAGTTTCAATAATAATATCCATTTCGTTTAGATTAAGCTTGTAATCTGGCGACGCTTACAATTTTACGGTGGGTTTAAATTTTAATAAATTCATAGATATTTAATTTTACTTTGGCTATTGTTGTTTATGTAATAGGAATCTTAAGTTGGTAAACAATCTGTATAGTTCTATTCTATTAGCAATTTTTCAAATCTTTATCCCTAAATGTTTTATACAGATGCCTTAGACAAGACTATTCATCAAGCCGCGATTAAATGCATTCAGAAGATGGGAAAAATGCAAGCGGAAGTCAACGCTGGATAAAAATATAACACATTCTATGAAAAAATATTTATAACTATTTATTAAGTATTTAATTCCTCGTTAATAAAGCTCAGTTTTGTTAAAGAAGTGGTTTATTTACACGATTAACAACTTATTTTATAAATATAATTTTATTTTTCACATACACACAAGCTGTTTCACTCATATAATAATATCTTATGCATATACACACTTCACAATCATATCACATTATATGAAATACAATGCGTTGTTCACTTACAAACTAAATTAATACTAGCAAAGTGTAAAGTAATAACCAGTGGTCGGAATTAGGTAGAGTTATTCATGTACTTACACTGATTTCATACAGCGAAAGAATAAAGTGGATATGCCTCAAATCCCGAGATTAATTTTAAAGAGCAGAAAAAATCCCGTGATTTTTTAAATAAAAAGTTATTTACTTTTACACAATTAAAACTACAGTACGCACGACGTTGCCAAACTTACATCAATGACATCGAATGTTCCGACCTCTGGTAATAACACACGTCATTTATTAAAGTCATTTATGTAGAGTGAAAATAAATTATAGACATTGGTAGTTTTCGATAGATAATAATTTTTCGTCTTGTAAGTTGACTTACATTATCTTACTTATAAAGTGTACATTCATAACATGTCTTAAAGAAAATGCTTATTTTTGTCATTTTGCTATCGCTACTCTTCGTGATATGATCACACCAAATGTGCAGTTTGAAAAAAAAATTAATTCTAGAATTAGTAAAATATGTATTATAATGTATAATCTAATAAGATGATAATCATTATGGAACAACTACAAAATTGTAGGGTTTTGATAAGTACAGTAAATTGCCTCCCTTAGTAGGAATTTCTAGTTACATCCCCTAAGTACTATTATCTATCGAAAAGACAGTTATATACTAACATTACAGAGATAGATCTAGCGAGACAGCCAGCTAAGACCACTTAACGTAAGTTTCATTGCTTTGGCAGTTGAAAATGATTTGGCTTGCAAACTTAACTATTACGTGTACAGGAACGTTATGTTTCCTTCTTTTGATTGAGTTGTGGGAAGAACGCCTCTATTGGCAGTATGGGGTCATCTGTGGCAATCGTGAAATAATTTGGTATCCTCCTACTATTGGAAGATACTGTTTTGAACATCCCCGGTGTGTTATAATCCTTGCTAGCAGCTAGTGTAAGGTCTGATACCCTTTTGGAATGTTCAAATAGGTGTTCAATAGGATCTTGATGATGCTTTTTATCAGCAATTTTCATAATAGCACTTTCCGATCGCGTCCTCTCAGACGTAATGTCATTCTTGTGATCATAGTGGACTGTAGTTTCTGTGACACTTATGTCCTGAACAGATTCTCCTATATCGGAGTCCTTAATTTTTTTTCTCAGTGGTCTCTTATTGTGAACGGTCGTAGTTTCGGCTGTTTCTTCAGTGGGCTTAGGTCTACGTAATCCATTGCGTATCCTTGCCGATATCTTCTGGGTTGTGTTCTCGATATTTTCCACTGTAGTCTGCCTTTGCCTATATCTGTTATTATGGTTATCGTTTTCATTATCCTCATTTATATCCGATAATATTTGTTTATGTCTCGGATCCTTAGGAGTGAATTTTTTCCTCTCTGTTGTGGTTTCAGCATCATCGTCATTATTAGGAACTTTTCTCTGAGGGAATCTTAATTTGGTTGTAGACTCCGTTGATCTTTCCGTTGTACTTGTGGTTGAACTTAAACGATTTCTGTAATCTTTAACGCTAAATCGTGGTCGGTTGAACTTGTTCTTAAGTCTCGGTCTTTGTATTTTGCTAGTAGAACTAGATGATGTTTCGGTTCGTGATGTACTTGTTATTTCTGAGTTATCGTTGTTGGCTCTACTTTTTTCGGTCGTAGTTTCTAATTTAGCTTCAATGGGTTTTACATCTTTATGAAATGCAAAAGTTTTAGCTGCCTCCTGCGTTATTTTGAGATTATCACTAGCACTAACCGCTACATCACTAGTAGGAGTGTCTTTCTCGTCCTGCTTGTGGGTATAGTCTGGGGTTTCGTAATTGGAATTATATTTTGGATGTTGATGACGGGTAGCAATTTTCATAATCGGTGATTCTTTGTTATTATCATATTCATTTAGTGATATAGTTGTTGTTTCAACTCTGTCAGTTACTGTGGTTAATGGACGGCGAATAAGCTTTTTCTTGATTATAGTGGGTGCTGTTGGTGAAATGGTTGGAACCGCACTCGTTGTCAAATCTGTGGTAACGCTAGGAGTTGTCAAATTTGGCTGTGGCTTGGAATGAGTTGGTCTTATTCTAGGTCTAATGGTATGGACTTCTTCAGCTTCTGTGCTCGGTGATTGTTCTGTTGAAGAATGTACATACTTACGTGTACTGGTACTAGACTCTTCTCGGTTAATGTTAGCTAGAGGTGGGCGGCGTCTTCTGTTCTTATTTCTCTTACGAATTCTGTCCTTGTCGAGAGGTTCCAATGTTGACGGGCGTTTGAAATGTTTGTTAGGTGGAAGCGTTGGCAAAGCATCAGCTGGTGTTTCATTTGTGTTTTCTTTGTTAACACTTGTAGTGGTAACTTCCGGTTGTGCCGTTAGCTTAGAGGATTCACTAGGTTTTTTCGTTCGCTTTGAAGAATTATAATCGTCATACGCTGCTGTAGAAACTTTGTAATAGTAATCCTTAAGTTTGTGCTTGCCGATGGGCTCGAAGTCGTCGCCAAGAGGCCGCCTGCTTTGAGTTTCGACTTGACCATCGTAGTTCAAAGAGTTTTCATAGCCTTTCTCGGCTTCCGTCACAATTGCATATTCTTCGGGTAAATCGGGCACATATGTTGTCGTTGTATGTTTGCTGAAACCAAAGTCGGGAGATAATTGTTTAGTCACTGGTTCTTCTGTTGTTTTAATATTAGTGTCGTACGAATGTGTCCAAGCAGCGGGAGATGCTTGTGTATAAACATCTTCAGATTCCGTATTTTCTGTTACTTCGTAAGTGGGTATGGATATTGGTGAGCTAACGTAATGTTGAGTGGCTTGATTGTTATTCGCTGTAATGCTGTCATGAATCTTCTGTTTTTTCTTCTGATAGTTAAAACTCTGAACTGGTTGGTCGTAATAATTTGAAAACTGTGGGCTATGCTGTGTCTGGTAGTTGTAATCAAGGTAGTTGCTGGCTAACGTTGTGGTCTGTACTGGGTTATAAGTGGTAACTGGAAGATTATAATCTTTCTGGTAATGTTTGAGTTCATGTTTGGAGAATGGATCCTGAGGACTCGCTTTGAACGATCCCTTGTTTGCATTAGGGTCAATCTTTGGTGGCGGAGACGCTTTTGTTGGCTGTATTGGTATATTTTTGATACCGTTATAGTCGTTCAAAGCTGAATTGAATTGAAGTTGATTGGCTGTGGTCTGGAATTTAGGCGTGGTAGTTGGGTTATAAATAGCTGGTGTTGTTTTAAAAGTGGGTGTGAAGCTGAATGAATTGAAAACTGTTTGTTTAGAGGGCTGCGGTGGTAAATATGTGGTTTTCGTATGTGGGAACACTGGATCTCTTCCTTTCACGGACTGCAGGCCAAACGAGCCGAACGTACCTTAAAGAATTCAAATAATTTTATTGTTAATTTTACTTTCTACAGCTATTTGTTAGGCTTCGGAGTATTCTTTAATATTTGTTAATATTTAACATCAGAGTAGGTACGTTTTGCTTTTACTTAATATACATTTTAAAAATGATATATATTTATAACTTTCTCTACTTCAAGGGTTATATTGATACTCAATTATATTAAGCAAACTAAGGTTGAATTGAGTTTTAGTAATCTATATTACGATCTTTTCGAAAAAGCGTGCCAATTTTGTCTTTTGCGTCTAGAAAAGCCTGGAAATAAAAATAAAATAAATTCAACCAGTTCTTACCCAAAATGCTTGGTGGAAAAGCGGGATCCTGGTACGTGAAATAAGGTGTCTTCGGTGTCTCGATCAAAAATTGCTGAGGCTGCGTTTGTTGATGATGGAGGTGCTGTTGTTGATGATATTGTTGTTGCTGTGGATGATGTGCCTGTTGCTGGTGATGATGCTGTTGTTGAAGCTGCTGTTGTCGATGTATTTGCTGAGCTTGTTGTTGAGCTGTCTTCACAGTCTGACTAACTGATTGAGGTGCAGTGTCACTGTCGGGAAGCTTGTACACCTCAGGCTTATAAGTCTCAATACCAGAGTATGTTTGCTTGTTGTCGGTTGGTCTTACGTAACTTTCTATTGGTTTCCCGAAGACGATAGGTTTTCCAGTCTGGTATTGCCCGAATTGCACCGGCTGGACATTTGTCAGTTGCTGCAGTGCCATGTTTGATGCTGTCTGCTTTACTTTGTTTTGATATTTTGTGTAAACAGGACGAGCAGCGTAAGGATTCTGTGGGTTTCTGATGACTATATTCTCTACAGGAAAGCTCTGTATGAATTTGTAAGACAAATTATTGTTGAATGCGAATGGGTTGTGGTAAGAATTGATGGGTTGATTCGCGGGGGGTGCAGGAGCCGCTGCGGATACCGTCCTGAGGGTGGTCGGTCTGTAAGACTGTGCTATGGACGTCAGTTTTGCGGAGTCTCTTGTGGCGAGTGGACGTACAGATGATGGATAGTCTATTACGGGCACTTTGTATGAGGGAGCGTGTTGGAGTGGGGCGGTATTATATGAGCCGCTGTATGCTAAGCCTCCTGATCCGACGACGGGTCGCCAGCCGCTTTTCGATACTGGTAAAGTCTGAAAAAATGCATGACAATATACGTAAGTAAATAAATCTGCCGGAGAGTATAGTGACTTTGTGTGAATGTACTGTCTTGCCTAAAAGGCAAGAATATTAAATTTGTCATTTTTCCGATGGACTATATATAACTCGGCCTTTTTTATTTCGTATACCGATATCAATCTACATTCGTATCATTAATATATCTGACGATTATATTATGGGATAAAAATTCTTCCAAATAATATCAAAGGAGTACACAATTTGAAGGTTTTAAAACTAGATTTTAAAAAGATTTGGTTATACCTGTTGTGTGGGCATGGAGCGACGGTGATGTCTGCCGCCGGCTGATGTTGCTGCCACCAGCTGCAGCGTGATCACCACCATCCAAAGCCGTGACCCTAATACAAACAATAAATAATAATTTATAATATAATATGATGGTAAGTATGTTTTAAAAGAGGAAAAATGTGATTATTTGTTTTACATTGAATAAGCTCTAATACGATTGGAGAGGTTTTAAAAATTCTTTTACACATGGGAAGCTTTAAAATTAGCGCGGGCGAAATCGCGAGAGGACAATATTCAATAAAGACAATATTGAAGAAAGCTCCATTGCACAGTGGTCAACATGTTCGATCTGCGTTTTTTAGAGGCTTATCATAGGACTGTGCGGCGTTAAAACCTCAGTAGCGTAACAATCGTACTAGCGATATGCTAGCGATGTTCTCAACGCTTCCTTTCTGGTTAACCTTTCGATGACCGGATTCGCCTGCGAAGCTCTACAAATAGAGATATATCGATATATTTTTTTGATCTTAAGTAAACTCTAAAATCTTGTTTGTAAAAACCTTATGTAAATAAAATATGTTTATTCCAAAATGTATTTAAAAAATCAGCGAATAATGCCTGGCTACTAAGCCTGTTCCTTCTACGTGTAATGCTGGATCCTGTACGCATGAGGAACTCTAAAGCGTTTTATTTACACCCAAATGTCACCTTTATCCTGTGCGCTCATATGACATCTTACTTTCGACCCGAGAAACGTGAGGTTTGGTGTAGACCCCTTGAATTTTTTCATTCTATACGTGTTGCTTTTAAAGAAAGACGTTCAGAAGGCATGCTCCTGATCACAATAGGTAAATGTGTTAATGCCACTTTAAATAGATTGGGAATAACACTTTATTTTCAAATTAAGTACAAATTATAATAATAAAAAAATTACAAATTTCATAGTAAAAATCAGGATTACAAGATAATGTCACATGTAATTTCTAATGTAATATCACACGTGAAGATGCCGTTAGATGATACAATTTGGACAATTGATACACTTATCAACTGATAGATGATATCGATATTTTTGGGCGTCGATATCGATATATATCGGTTTTCCGATATATCGTTGCATTCCTATCTACGAAGATTATTTTCATTTGTTCAGAAAAGTTTATTTTCATATTGACTCAAGCGAGAATTGACCCCGGGATTTTAGTTAGACGACGACATCTTGAATAAGGCATGCGCGCCACTGGGTCACTGAGGTCGTCAATATGTTTTTTTATTTATTTACTTAATGAAATATAAAATAAGAACTCTTATAGTTTCGCCATGTTCGTCTGCCGTCCGTCCGTCAGTCCGTGGTTTAGTTCAAAAACTATTGGTACTACAAAGTTGTAATTTGGTATGAGTATACAAGTTAATTACTCCGAAACAAATTTACGGTACATATAAAGTACACATAAATATTTTTTTTGTCGTCCCCATAGTGTGGTTCATCGTTGGATAGGTTTTTCAAAAACATGTAGTAATAGTGTCCATGTAGTGTAGGAAGCCGTTTTTCGGTTTAGTAAACCATTTGTGACTTATTAAGCTTTAAAGAACTAATTTTCGTTAAAGTGCCGCCCCCCTCTATACCAACCAAACTTTCTTCGGTAAAAAATCAAACTTTACGGCAGTAGTACCTATCTATGACGAAGTTAAATGAAAATCTATCACACTTAAGTTAGCTTTATAAGTTTACGAATAATTGTATTTAACTTATTTTATTTTAAACATTCGATATACGAGGAGCCATACAATAGAATTCTTTCAAGGTTCCCTTATCATCGATTAGGTCAGTCGATCATCGTAACAGACAATATTTTTAAGTTTCAATAATAATAGAAAGTGCCACTATAATAGCACAATTAACTCCAATTGTGGGTTAGAAATTTTTTCAACAATAATTTTCCGTAATTCGGTGGTATCCAATTCCAAATTAACAGTGGCTATCACATTACCGCTGTCACACTTTCTATGGCTTTTTGTATTATTACCGGTTGGACAGACGAACAGGCAAAAAAATGGTTTTCGCAAGTCATAACTCCGTAAATAGACACTGATTAGAGTCTGAGAAAGTAATGTCGCTTATTAGTGGCATTATTCCATTATGGATTTAGTAAAGCTAAGAATGATTCGTGACTATAAAGAATACCATATAGCGTTATTATTGGGTATAGGAACTACTTATATACTATCTATACCAATATTATCAATAGGAAATGTTTGATCATTTGTTAGTTTGTTTCCATTGAATAGACTTCGAAATAATTGAACCGATTTTAAAAATTTACGTGAAGTTACATCATATGCGGGTGACTTATGCTATAGTTTGAACGGACAAAGACGCGGGAATACAGCTAGTGTTTTATAAGTAGAAATGTAGTTATTTAAAAATTATTTAAAAACCAAAGAAATGTCTAAAGCAGTCAAAACGGATTTAAAACCAGTTAATAATAATATAATATTTTGTATATGTCAGGATATGTAGGTATATGACTGAAATGGTAGAGCAGTTGCCTGGTTAGTGTAAGTTCCGATCCCGATAAATTAAGGTATTTTTTATAAGATATATAAAATCATTAAATAGTTTCTATACCGACGAACGAGTGGTTCGCACGCCGATCTCAAGGTGTCGCCAGCTCTGAGGTCTCAGGTTCGATCTCTGGCTGGCCTTGGCTTCAAGCCTGTAAGCTGTAATTCGACCAACGTATAGGTATTAGCCAGTAAAAATGCGCCTTAAATCAGTTAGAACACACAACAAATAAGTTTCATTTTATAATCAATGTAACGGGCTAGCCCTTTCTATAAAGCAAATATAAATACCTACTACATGTAGAGCAGAACCAGTCAACTGACCGAGAAATTGAATTCCCACGGCTCGATGACAAGACGTTGGATTATTGATAAATGGCATGAGCAATAACGCAGAAAAATGTGCTAATTTATATTGGAACAAAGTAATTATGAAATTGTTTTATTGTCGTATTATCGTAACTACCTAAAATATATTGGTACAGGCTTTAGATCGTTATTTAATTTAAATTTTAATTCCAATTTAATTGTAAATTTTATTAGATTACTAGCTGACCCGACAGATTTCGTCCTGTCAAAAAGATTTGTAATGTGGCAGTTTTTTTGCCTACGTATTGTGCTTGTAATTTAATATGAACTTTATACCATAGCAATAAAGCTCAAATTGACTACGTTTTAGTTACAAATCATTTGTATGGGAAAAAGAAAAGGGCTATTTTTAGGGTTTTTCCAGCAATAATTCTAATTTTTCTCGCCGTAAAAACCATCCTTGAACTTCAACGAACATTTTAAAAAAAGATTTGGCCAAATTGGTCGAGGCGTTGTTGAGTTATGCGCTTACCAACACATTTTGCGATTCATTTTTATATATAAGATTTATCTAGATAAGGATAGTTTAACTCCAAAACTACTGGACCTATTTCGTTTCAAAATCCTTTCACCAGTTGCATAGTTTATTCTTAACCTAATAATTATTTTAGATGGTACGATATTTGCGGTACTATTTTACAAAAAGGTATTATTTGATTTTTTGTTAACATTGAATAGGTTCCATAATACAAATAGGGTAAGGAAAATTTTGGCGAAGCAAGGTTCCGGCACGTAGGGAACTCTCCGGAGACCTCACGGCACGATGTCCCAGGATGAAACCAATCATATCTTACTACAGACCCATTTCCCAAACTGTCAATCAATCGAACAGGTAGTATGGCATGACGTCACGCCGACGGACAGATGCCGGCGCCTTGCCACAGAAATTGTAACGTCTGAAAAGGTGAGATGGGCCATTAACACCTTCTCTCCCTTCAAGGCGGCAGGAACCGATGGCATCTTCCCACCACTACTACAATGGGGAGGAGAGATCATTGTCACAGCACTCACCCGTATACTACAAGCATGTCTTGTTCACCGATACGCGCCATACAGATGGAGAGTAGTAAAGGTAGTATTTATACCCAAACCGGGAAAATCCGACTATTCTAACCCCGAATCTTTCCGGTCCATAAGTCTAACATCTTTCTTACTCAAAACTCTAGAAAGACTATGTGACAGATATGTACGAAGTGCTGTACTGAGCATTTCTCCGATACATAAACTTAGCACATAAATCTACAGAATCGGCCCTCCACCAACTAGTCAGTAAGATAGAAACGGGCCTTCACAACAAACTCATCTATTTTTGCACTTTCATCGATATCGAAGGTGCCTTTGATAGAACCAACTTCACCAACATTGCGGCGGCTCTCAAAAGACATGGAGTAACAAAGCCACAAGTTATAGACTGGATCGTGAACATGCTACGCAATAGGATAGTTTGGGTGGCAGGTGAGGGCAGTAGCGGGGGCACTGGTGGCGCGGGGATGCCCCTAACTGTGGAACCTGTTGGTCAACGATCTGTTCATACTCCTGAATGGAAACCACTTCTACACCAAAGAGTATGCCGATGATATCACAATATTAACTCTAGGCACCCACGCTGGTATAACCTGCAACACCATGCCAGCAGCCTTGAAGAAAGTCGAACGCTGGTGTGAAAAGTACGACCTGTACACCCTGCAAAAACGGAACTGGTAATGTTTACAACCAAACACAACGTAGGCACGTTTCACCTACCGAAATTATTTGGTACAACACTACAACTGTCCAAGGAGGTAAAGTACCTAGGCTAAGGAGGAAGAAGAAGAATGGGTTCCGAAACTAACGGACCGATATCAAAAAATATTTCACATATGGTAAACTATATCATTAATGTCGTACGTGGGTTACGTAGGCTATAATACGCGGATGAAGTCGCGGGAAAACAGCCAGAATTGCATAAACTGAAATATGAAGTTAAATAAATTGTGCCGAATTGGTAACAATGTCTTAAATTCCACAATCCTAATTCAGAATATAACACATAGTTATGACGTAATAATAAAATAAAGGCTACATTCGCAATAGTTTCCATGTTAAAAAACTATCTTGGATTGGAAAACTATGTGAAAGGCCTATAGCTACTTTCGCGTGCGTGCGTGTAGGGTATTTATACC